TCGTAGATACTAAGCGCTATCCACGGGCATTCTTCGGATAATTCTGAACTGTTTTGTTATTTTGGTTCAGGTAATAACAACGTTAAGATAGCTTTATTTGCAACGCCTCTTACGGGCTGAAGCGCATGCCATTAGGTACTTCGCTAGAAGCCTTTGGCCACAGCAGGCGTCAGTGTAACTGTTGGGTCTCGGGTGGAGCGGTGGGACTGTCAACTAGCGTAGGGATTGCCCACTTTTGAGGAAGCCCTCATTGTATGTGCATGCGTCTAAATATTTCCTCTCCGCGACAGAGGCAGAACTCACTCTGGGGTGGAGTTTCTAGATACTTCGATCGTAGGTCCGGGGTTAAACTAGCTGACAACTGGAATAGATCAGTGACTATTTTCATCTCCCTTGTGTCCGTCTGTAGTACTTCTGTACTACCACCATTGATAGTAGCAGTCCACTGTCATGTGTTCAGGCCTTTTCATCGCATTTGCCGCCGACTCATCCACATTTATTTGAAGCCGACTATAATAGAGCATGGGTGGAGGTCCGAATAAGCAATATTAAGCTTTTTTCATAATTTTACTCTCAACTTCCACGATTGTTGTGTTTTATCCCCAACGTTGTTCAAATCCATTGTAGACCGAGCCCTCCAGCAGTAGTTGCAAGACCATCCCAACACCACGCAGGTCATATTCTTAAGTTATAAATCTTTACTATACTGACTCGATTGTGCTGACAGCGAGCTCATCCTGCACAAGATCAAGTCATCACTAAGTAAGCAATTACCGCGTTAAAGAGAACGCCTCTCTGGGTAATTCACCTGGCTGTCTCAGGACGCGACTGGCGAGACATTCGTCGTAAATACCTTTGGCTGTGCGCCTTCCTGTTGTGGAATTTCGAACAATTACCCGTTCACCATAAAACATCACGTTTTTGGTCAGCATTGTAACTGTGGCTGGGATTCACAAGAGGTTTATGTGCTAATTCCGAATAGCCCAAAATACTTTATTTCGACACACCGAATCTGTTCCGATGGACCGCACTAATGTCACTCTGCTTCTTCTAGTAAGGCATAAGACCCCGAATATCCCAGCTGTAAATGTGTCAACCTAATTGACATCAACTCCACCATCTTCTGCCGGTATCCTCCAGCTTAATTTCCACACCTTCGGGATTGGGGAACAAAGAAGGCCCGGAAGAATTCCCTCCTACCGGATACTACGTCTAACAAATGTTGGGCTCGCGACCTAGTAGACGGAAATGACACTGCTCTCAACCGGTCGGCTTTTGCTTTCTGGAATTCTCTGCTTCACTTGATCTCATATTCGGCAGCGGTGAAACATCAGTCGACTGAATTGTTTTCGATGTTATGTACGTTGGCGGAACGCACCTGGAGCTCTTGAGCTCGAGCAAATCACGTTATACACTAACACATGCAGTGGAAAGAACGAATAAATTGCAGTCAACTCCGATTTCCGACAAGGCTGCCTTAAACCCCCAGAGCCTTACTGGTTTGAGGCGATCTGGAGTGAAAAGTGAGGCAGCCAACCAGTCTGCAGTTCAAATATTAGTGTAAAGCGAGTATTTATGCAATGTATAAAACGTTGTACGCCGCCCGTCAAAAAGACAGAGCACAGTCAACTTTCAGACTGGGGCACATGAAACCGTAATCTTTAGTAGGTGCGTCATAGAACTCAACTGCCGTACTACCTTTCTCTTTAGCATACATGACACGTTCCTTAAACTCCTCGTTACTTGTTGCCACACCCACCCTTTTTACGTGGTTTGTTTCACAGTCAAAAACTCCCGTCTATCAGCCACCCTGATTTTTTGAAGCAAAACAACTTTTAGACGCTCAAGTATCTGGATCTCAGACACAAACTTTCCTCATTGTTATCCAGGATAACAATTATAGTCGGTCTCCTTATCAAATATGAACCCGACAGGCGAACTGCAACACTGAAGGTCGGATCGAACATCTATCAATTGTCACGCTCGAATTATCTTTTCACAACTCGCCATCATGGGCCTGCAGCTCTGAGGTAGCCTTTTACTAACCGTCTGAATTATTTTATGCATGCCTTCAGTGTGTGAAATCTCTGTGACAAGGATCGTCCCGGACAATAACTTCGTGACCGACGCTTGACTCGAACGTCTATTTTTTCACAAATTCTGCCTATTCTAGCCAGCCGATATCTCTGGATTAGTGTTTTCTCCACCTTATCCGAGCCGCGCTTCAAACTTAATCCACAAAAACTGGCAATAGCATTTCTCTAAAGGCCTTTGGGCCAGTGAATGTGTTACATATGTCGCTCCTCTTTCTGATTTACCTGTTCGCATGTTAGGTTCTGATCACAGTCCATTCAGGTTACGTAGCCTGTCTTTTAGGGAACAAAGTCCATAGGGCCCGCGCCATTAACATCTATACGCTGTTTTGGTGGGAGCGCGGTGATGTTGAAACTCTCATTTGTGTCATTTTCGTTATCGGAAGTGGCCACTTAAATGTTTGCCACTTCTTGCGTATGTTTTTGAGATTTATCCTTTTTTGTGCCACTGATCTGTTTCCTTACACACTCATTTTAATTATTTTGGATCATCCCTTCCATGACAGGCACTTGCATCTACAGAAAAATAAAACCTCTTGGCTCCTTGCACATGCGCGCTGTACTTCTCGGTTATCCGGAGGAGGGCACTCCTAGTGATAATGCCTCTGCTGGCGACAATTTCGTCGGAGGCGAGCTGTTATCATTCAGTAGACCAGAGGAGTTTCCGCTCGCAGTCCATTGTCCAACATGTCAAGAGCCGATGTCATTCATTCTGCAACTGTATTGTCCTGTGAACGACCTAAAACAGCATCGCATTCTCTACTTCTTCTGCTGCCTCATGACGGAATGTCAGAAGTCTGGCCTGTGCTGGCGAGTTTTTCGTCATCAGCAAACTGGCTCTCTTCTCCGGACTTCAGTCGACCAGAAATCGGTCTCAGACTGGGGCTTTGGAGGTGATGGAGATTCTTCGGATGGCGAGTTATGGTGTGAGGAAGGTGGCGTGGATTCACAGGAGGGTTCGGCACCGGTAAAGCGTTTTAAACTTGAGTACTATGAGTGCTAGATCTTTCGTCTCTCCGTTTCCGAGTTTTGACTTGATGCCTCTTCCACGCCTATCTCTAATTTCTGAAGGATAGCAAAACATGTGGCAAGTTTGGTGAAGGCCGATTAACGGAAAAATTTCCTGACGGTGTCCATAATTGCGGAGGCTTAGAGTTTCTGTCAGAGATCGAATGCTAGCAACCAGAGACTTGCACGGACAACTCCAATGAAGTGAAGGCAGCCGTCCAAGACACAAGTCCTAGTAAAGCAACAGAACCTGAAAGGGTAAATCCCGGTCCTCCCACCTAGGTCATAATTGTACGACCGCGTTCTGTAGATTTTTTTTAGACTTTTTGAGTCCTCGACTATGCTTAAGGTCCTGGAAAATGACAGGTACTCGCCAGATGCCGAGGGCTGGGAAGGACTCCCTAAAACCTGACAGTCTGTCGTCCTTTTGGTCTCTTCTCCTTAAGGAATAGGTTTATGTAAAGAATCGTTACCAATGTCCTGCGCCTCTTTCGGGGGGAAATCCACATGTCTGCACACGATCAAACATTGTTTGGGTCACGGTGTAGTGTTGAGGAGTAATGCCTTTGACTTCTGCAGTTCATTCTTGGTGCGTTGCAAAAAAGCCATATCGCGTGCAATACTTACACTACTGGACTTCTACAAGTCCCATGATACTCTCCAACAAGACTTCTTGTTAAGGTGACTGGGAGGGGCGTCCCTCCCCAATTTGCTTGCTAGACCAAGTCAAATAGGGGGCTCAACTTCGTCATCATATATGGGACTTTCTGCAGACAAGAATAACTGCTGGACCCAGTGCTATTGCCGGGACTGTACTGTCTACAACAATGGCGTACTGAGGTGCAAGGCAGATATCACCTCTGTCAGACCCCTTGAGGGCAATTTGACAGGCTGGGCAAAAAAGCCACTCGAGAGGAGTACAGGCGACAGTGACGGTGCTTAAAAAGTCAAATAAGAAATGAAATGCGGAGTTTTTTTTTCTTAGCAAACGTCCACAAATCCCGATAATAGCCAACACTATTCCCCGAGGATAAGGTGTTACCGTTCCTGGACCCTTAAATTCCACAGCGACACCGATATTTGTCTGCCAAAGTTCAGCAAGCGCACTGGTCCACTCATCCTGCTCTGGTTTCTAAAACTGCGCGACTGTAACCATTCTTCGCGAAAAATGAGTACCTTTTGCACAGCCAACCTGAACTTTTTGAAAAATAGACTCTCTCCCTACCTAACGTAACGTCTTTGGCACTCTTTTTCAGCGAAATGTGAACGCCAGTAGGGTAGTTTTTTCGATTTCCCATTATTTCGTGAAGCACTTAAATTCTTCTGGCGCAGCCCTCAACCTCACAAGTTTTGTGATGAATTATCAATTTCATACCTCATTGATGGGGGTTCATTGTATAGACTTGCAGTCACAAGCCTCGAAATGCAAACAGGGGAGTAGAAAATAACGTAACCGCAACGCATATTTAGTAATGGGTATTTCCTGAATTGAGACCCAGAGTTTAAATATATATTGGAGGCCCTGTAGCATTGACTGGAATCGGCCGAAGTATTTTTAACTAGAGCAACCTAATTAAGTAGACTTACAATACTTACTTACTTGTACTTAATACGGCTGCGGTCATGCCTGATCTAGCCGGCCTCGGTGATGTCCCGAACTGTCGCGTGACGATCTGCGGCAGCAGATCTGGACAGTTCACTCGTTCTCCAACGACGGAGACCGAATACCAAAGGTCCAAGAACCACCTCCATGTCTTGGCGAACTGTGCCGAACCAGGTTTTGAGTTGACTCTCTCTTCAACGCCCTCAATGGGGTAACGGTGCCGGATCGAGGGCAGTAACACTGAGCTCCTGAGGTGGACGACGAATAACATTCCCAAACCCTCTCAGTCGCCTTTCTCAGATGGCCTGGGCTATCCTTGCAATGCTGTCGCAGCGAGCACGGGCTGTCTCATTTGAGACGAAGTCGGTGTAGTTCACTCGAAGGATGGTCCTCAAGCAATAGTGGTCAAATACCTCCAGTTCTCGCTCATCCTCTACACACACAGCCCAGCATTCACAACCATAGAGAAGGGCAGACCGGACAGATGCGCGGTACACGCGAATCTTGGGGGCAATGGAAATGTCGCGTCGGATCCATAGGCACTTCCTAAGACTCGCGAAAACTCGCCGGGCAGCATAAGTTCGGGAGACAAATTCATTCTGCTCATTCGGCAGCAGCCTCGTTCCGAAGTATTTAAAACTGTCTACTTCTTCAAGTTGACAGCCATCAATCGTGAGAGGTGTCATCTCCTGGTCAGCAATGCGGTTTGACAACACTCTAGTCTTTCCAACGTTTATGGCTAAACTGACTGATTTAGCGACCTCGTTCACCCATGGCACCATAGACTGCAGATCACCAAAACTTGAAGCAGGTAAGGCAATATCATCGGCATAGTCAAGATCAGTCAGTCGGTGTCTGGGTGCAAATTCAACACCGGCAACTTCGTGTAGGGCCCTTCCGAGAATCCAGTGAATAGCGTAGTTGAACAGAATGGTCGACAAGATACAACCCTGTAGAACGCCAGACCGAATACCAAAGGTTTGGGGAAGATTGTTGCGGACCAGGACTCGCGCGGTGGTGGAGTGATAATAGGCCTTGATCATGGCGATGATTTTTGGTGGTACAACATGTAGCGCGATTATCCGCCATAGGGGCTCACGATGGAGCGAATCGAACGCGGTGACAAAGTCAACAAAGCAGACGGGTTGCCCATTAGCCTAACTGCTGGCTACCCGACGCGTCCACAGGTGGCGGATAGTGGAATAGCCTTCAGTGAAGGTTAGTTGCGCAATAAGCAGATCCAGGTCTGACAAATAGGCAATCGCGGACCAGCAGCGATAGTGCTGCCAGGGTGCAGAGGGCTGAGGTCTGGCAGACTAAAAACCTTATAAAAAATCCGCAAAACCCGATGACGGCATTGTGACACGTCGACCGTAAACCCCCATTAAATAAGTTTGCTTGCCACCACTGCCTTATGGTTAGGCTTTAAAGCCAAATCCTTAGAAAAGACAACCTCGAACAAAGAATCCGAGCGGCTTTTGGGGACCCGGCTGTATCCGAAATTCCCAAGAAACCTCATGAAATATATCCGACTTACAATACCAGTTAGTATGAGCCATTGGGCGAAAGGATTTGAAGCATTTCAGGATGCCAAACTTGACCATAATTCTTTCCACTCAAACTTTGGAATAGCCTCTACTTAGGTGTTAGTGCTTGTTTAAATTCGTTCGCATTTGCTAGAATTCGCGCGCAGTCTTTTTCAAATTTATCTTCCAAGTAGTGGCATCTTTGTGAATGCAACATTTGTAGAAGGGAAGTATTTCCATCCAGTCGTGGTAATTTTGGACGTTTATATTTGCAGATTTTAAAGATTTCTACAGAACAAGTATCACGATACAACCCTTTCCCAGTATTCCATGCATATCAACGAGTGTCTTTGCTGACACATGACTCGAACGATAACTTTTCGAAAAAGCGCCTGCTATGTTGTTCTAAAACCGTAAGAATAATTTAAAATGTACCTATCTCAAAGTGTACAGGCGTTTTTGCGTTCTTTAAGGCCACGTAGTGTCTTCTTTGGCAAACTTTAACTGAAAAAGTGCAAGTTGTTACCTTTTGCTGTTACGATGGAGATTGATAAATAAGTTTCCGCAAACTTTGGTCGAAAAGCAGCGTGCTATGCCGAACGGATTAGCGTGATATTCGTTTTCCTGTTACCCAACCCTAACCTCGGTAAAATTGTTTTATATTTAAAAGTATATGTAAATATTTCGTTAAACCTACATGGTGTTGATGAGTTCCGTACGAGCTCTCAACCACAACAGATTTTTTTTCTTTGCATTGCTTTCCTAGATTTCCATTTCCAAATTTGGTTTATCGAAAAACCATTAGCCAATCTGTCTGAACTGGCTTTCGGATTGATAGCCACCATCAAGTAGTTTGGTTTAAATTAGGTAAGCATTCTTCAACGCGTGAGGATCCAAGCGGAGAGCGGAATGCTCAACGCATGGTTTGCATTTTACTAGAAATTTTTGAGACTATTTCATTCTGGTCAGAAACTCGGTCAGGAATTTTAAAAACTTTTATGGCCTCAAAGTGGATACACTTCCACCTTGTTAGCGTTATATAAATTTGTTTCTTTTAAAACAAACATACACCTAGGATCAGTCCTCCTGTCTGTCATCACTGCTTGTTGATTAACACACGTTCACAGAGTTCACTGCTGGAGTGCTGCCTTTTTCCTGTTTAGATCGAAGGTTCTATTGCCTCTGAGCCATCCTATGCCAATGAGAATTTTAGGAGTCCGTTTTTACGCCAGTTCATCAATGTTTACGAGGAGGAGTCGGCGGTGCAAGGGGAATTAGATGTTGGTTGTAGCTTCGAAGAATGGATTCTTAACTACCAGGCGGAGAAAGAATTCGTTGATGAGGATGACAATGAGGTCTGTGATAATGATCGGCTGTCTACCGTTTTCGAGACTCATCTTGCTACCCGTGGCGACTACGGCTGCGAAGCTGTACGCTATTCGTGGTGTGGACAACCAGTCTTTGCATGGTCTCCCACGTCGGACTGGGAGCCCCACTTCACCTGTCCTCGCTGCCTCGGCGAACGCGCTTTTGAGGTCCAGATATTTTCCACTCTGAACAGTTCTCTTTTAACCAGAACATCTCCGAAGGATATGACAAAATGCGAGTGGCCACTGGATATGCTGTCCGTCCTTGTGTTTACTTGCAAGTCTGCCTGTTGGCATGATTCTGACGACTCCTGTCCGTTGGTTGAAGAAGCGGTATTAACACAGACAGAAGACGGAAAAAGTGTTTTCCACGATCCAAATAAGAGATCTTTCTAAACACCAGTTTCTGTTCATTTTAGTGGTTCTGGAAGGCCTTTAAGACATTGGCGGGTAACGTGACTTATGAACCTTCAGGAAATTATGCAGCTGAAACAACCCAAAACTGATTTACCTTGACCGGCCAACTTAATCTCATCAAATATTCAGCGAAATCTTGAAATATATACATATATATTCTCAGATAGAAATGATTACTTAGGCGGCTTTGTAATAATGTAATGTGCAACATAATCCCTAGATATTTCAATTACGTCAGGGTGCTGACTTTTGACTAAACTCATTTCTTACCGCCCATACATACAACACTACGCAAAAAATGGCTACTTAAATAGTATGAATTTTGTCATTGCTATTCGATGCTCACAAGTATACAAACTTATTTTACGGTAAATATGCGCAAAACTATTATTACTTGCACCCGTTTGCTAGCAGATTACGTCCTCATTTTTCTTCGGAAGAAAGGTGCTTCCTGGCCGCAAGAAACTTTCGATTCACGAATAATTTTGAACCCACCAGCGGTTGCACTTGCGCTTAAGATTTTAGACCTACATGCTCTGTACTTTCTGCCTGGAGAAAATCCTGCATTCCTCTATGCTATCAAGAAGACGTCATGCAGGGCTCTTAAAATTCTGCAATGAATGTGGACGATATGTATATTTCGTAAACAGCTTTAGTAGACGTACAGATAAGTTTACGTATGAATGCGCATTTCGCGGTCATAAAAACCGCATAATTAAAAACTTCTTTAAACCGAGGGAAACCCCTTCTTCGAGTATAGAATTTGAAAGAGACGCGATTTTCTGCTGAGTAAT